ACACAAGCTTTTTAAAGCTTAAAACCACAGACAAATTACACGTTAACTTCCATATTAATTACCTTATTTGGAATACATTGCAAAATTAATACAGGTCAAAAGCAAAAAGAACAGTCTGGTTCGTTTGCGGTTTGACTTTTCTAACAGTGTTATTGCGGTTATATATTTCCTAAGCTTGGGCTATTACAAATTATTCTATTTGGGGATTTTTTTCCACTCTGACTCCTTCTGTCCCTTGTACACAGAAACAAGCAGGATCTTAGTTCAAGGGCTGTAAGCAAGCTTGACCAAACTTAGGGCCTTGACAAAAGTTTAAGGCCTGCTAAATTTTCCCTCACAGTAGTAAGTAATAAGGTACACAGGTGACCCAAAATACTTACAACTAAAGCTGCGCAGTTAGCTACCAACTGCCTCAATTATCAACAGTGAATGCCATGTGGGACAGGATGAAAGTACACAGGCATTGCACTTTAGCATGCTCCATTATAGTGAGACTAGCAAAATGAAACAAATTCCTAGTGCAAATCTAGAGCTAGGAATTCCTGAAGCATGGATCTGCAGTGGGAGAATTTCACTGAGTTAAGGATTCATAAAATTCTCAAATGAATCAGAATTTGAAATGTTCTGCGATACAGTTAATATTTTCTTCCCAAGTGCATTTTATAAATGTAGTTATTTAAAAACAAAACAGAAGCAAAAATCTTCATTCATCACATTTTCCAAGTTCTGTTCTCACTTTTGTGATGCTCTCAGCCTGTCCAACTGAATAAGCAGTTATGAATGCACATTTTCTCTAAAACCTGGTCAGAATGTGTAGAATCTAAAGTAGGGTTGGTGTGAAAAGATGGATCTCCTACCCTGCACATGATCCACTTAGGGAAAACTTTCCAAGTGTTTCTGTGTTAACACAATAAAGATATTTAGATAAACCAATTCCCCCTCCCCACATTGAATATATTCAGTATGTGGTCCTACTTGCAAAATTCATAAAATAAATTAGAATTTATAACCCAGGTTTTATGAAGATTTTTGAGCTATACCTGTATTTACAAAAGTCTCTGGGGACATCCAGTTTTAATTCTAATCTCAATAACATTACATCCCCAAGACACATTTTCCTTCTCTTTTCAAATAAGAAATTATGCCTTTGAATATACACAAACAAATCCCACTCCCAATAGAGACTCAGAGACGGATCAGAATTTGGCCATTAACATTAAGGCACTGATCCTGCAAATCACTCTGTGCACCCAGCTCTACAGGTGGTCCTCCATGTGGATGCAGGGATATGGGAGCAGTTTGCAGAACTGGGACCTAATTAATTTTGGTGCTAGTGATTAAAAAAAGATGACAGACTGAAGAATGGAGAGTTCTATTTATCTACAAATACTGCACGTGCAGCCACAGTGCAAACTTCTTCTCAGCAGGTCTTCAATCTGTCTTAACCCTGACCTGAAGGGACTATTACTAGAGATGAGAGAATACTCCAATCTGTGAGCCCATTCTCATTGCTGACAAGATGCCCAACACAGATGCCAATTAGCAGTTAATTGTTTTGGCAGGTGGTGTGATGCCAAAGGGTTTTTTTTTTTTTTTTTTTTGCTTAAAGAAGGGGAATCCTAGCCATAAGAGCACTACCACTATCCTTTATTTAAAATAAAGCTACATTGAAGTGTCAAGATGATTATTTGATATCACAGAAATTCAAAGTAAGTCACCATGTTATCCTTTATTCACCCAAGCAGGTTTTGCATAGTTCTCAGAATGGCAAGCAATTACTCTTACATCCTACATGAGCTGTTACCAGTGTTAAAATTCAGTAATTCGCAGTAAGGGCAGAGGTAGAGCCATCCAGTGGTATTGAGAAGAAAATACTCAGTGGTTAGAGTGGGAGCCTGGGACTCAGAAGCCTGGGACTCCCTCAAAAGCTCAATTCTTTGCCCACTACAGACTTCCTGTGTGATCCTGGACAGTCATTCAGCTTTTCAGTTTCTTCTGTAAAAATGAGAATAGTACTTCCCTATCTCACTGGGGTGCTGGAGGGATTTAGACATAGTAGACTGTGAGGTGCTCAGATACCAATGTGATGGTGGCCATATCAGTCCCTAGACAGAGATCTTCTCCTGATTAAACAGTTTGGCAAGCGTGTATCATTTGATGTAATCACAAGGCAAGAGACTCATAGACTCAATTAAAAATTACAAAAAGAAATTGTCCTTCATGTGTACATGCAAGTAGCCATAGATTAAAAAGAGAAAGGAATGGCTCAGCAATATCTAAAGAGTAAGTGTGAACTCCATCAAAGACAGAGAAATCCATCTTTTCTAAAAATAGCATAGACTGAGGGCTTGGCTACACTGTCAATGTGCGGCAAGCCAGGGACATTGCCAAAGCACAGTGAAAGTCCCACTGCACCATAGCAATGCTCATAGAGGACATTACTGCACGGCAAGCTAGTGAGCTGTAGTCACACCGTGGCTTGCCGCATAGTAAGTCACCGTGTAAGCAAGCCGAGAATACTGTGGTGAAAACTGGGCATTTGGAAGGGAAGTGACCCAACAGAGGCTCTCTCCTCTCTCTCTCCTCCATTCTCTGTATAACTTTATTAATGAAAGTTTGATAATTTCTGAGCTGTAACATATACAGTAAAAGCTGTTTTATCCGGCATGTTGGGAGAATGGGGGGTGCTGGTAAGTGAAAAATGCCAGTTAAACAAGAAGAAGAGACTTTGGGTGCAGGAGGGGGTGTGGAGCGCAGGCTCTGGGATGGAGTTTGGGTGCGGGAGGGGGCTCAGGGCAGTGGGCTGGGGTATGGGAGGGAGTGTGGGGTGCCAGATCTGGGGGGCGCTCAACTTGGGCGGCTCCCCACAAGCGGTGACCTATCCCAGCTGCTCCTAGGTGGAGGCACGGCAGGCATCTCTGCACACTGCCTCCCCCCACAAGCGCTGCCCCCGCAGCTCCCATTGGCTGCGTTTCCCAACCAATGGGAGCTGTGGAGCTAGCACTCAGGGTGGGGGCAGCGCACAGAGCTGCCTGCTGTGCCTCCACCTAAGAGAAGCCAGGTCAGGTTGCCACTTGCAGGGAGCTGCCCAAGTTGAGCGCCCTCTAGATCCGGCACCCCACACTCCCTTCTGTGCCCCAACCTGCTACCCTGAGCCCCCCCCGCACCTAAACTCCCTCCCAGAGCCTGCGCTCCAAACCCCCTCCTGCGCCCCAACCCCCTAACAGCCCCGCATCAACCTGACTATAAACCAGAATTTCAATGAAGATCAGAAATGCTGGTTTATAAAGCTTTCCGAATGATGAAGTGCTGGATAAAACAGCTTCTACTGTACATACATTAAGAGTTGTAGATAAGGCTAGTGTTTCCAGTCTTACTCTGAGGCCTTGCCTTCACTGCATATAAAAGCATGTTCCTATCTCGAGTTAAGAGCACACTTTTTTTCTTCAGTGAAGACAAGAACTGAGTATTCTTATTTTTGTGGGTTCAAACTAGAATCCAAGGCCTTGTCTACACTAGCGGTACGTGTAGGGTACATGAACCTACATGCCAGTGAAAAGCAGGCTGCATCCACATTGCGGTGTGTAGCTACACTCGGCAGTGAAAGGCTCTGGCATGGTGGAGGAAATGGGGAAAAGCTCTGGAAGTGCCTTTTCCTGTGGTGTAGAAAAGAACTGGCAGCTCCCTGTGGCAGGGAAAGCATCCAGCAGTGGGGGAGGCAGCAGGACACTACACTGCTGAAAATAGCAGTGTAGATGGGGCAGACACTGCTTGGCTGTGTAGAGCCCAGTGTAGGATATATCCTAAGGCTCTGATGTACCTTTACTCGCCTAAGCAGTGCTTCACTGTCTACACTGCTATGTATATCTATGCTAGATGGGGCGCAGTGCATGCACACTACATGCCACTATAAGCATAGACATAGCCTGAGGGGTCTGTGAGGGCAGGCAAAGCGCTGTAAAAGGCATGGTCAGAAACAAGCAGGTCATTCATCCAGTTTGAAACCTGAAAGTCTTCCTTCTGGGTGATTTGTGTCCCGGCCAGTACTGAGACAAAAGCAAATGTGGTTTTATCCAGCATTGGACAGGGAGAGGGTACCATTTTGAAAAATGCACCACTCCACCACCCCCAGTCTGAGCTGCACACAAGGTCACATCAGTGGGGGGGGGGGGGTAGAGCAATGTTCTCTTAAAAATGGCATGCACTGTGCAGCGTGATCTTGCATGCACATACGTGCGGGGTCACGCCAGCGGGATGAGTTCACACCATTTCTGGAAGTATTGGAATGTCCAGTATTCTGGGGATGTGTGATGGCCACCCTAGTAGGAAATGGGGTGTCCCAGACTAATGCAGGTAAGGTGGGGGTATAAAGGCCAGGGAGAGGACCTGTGGGTTTGTAGGGATGGCCTATGGGGGTGGGGGGGCTACGAGCACTACTGTAAAATACAGATCAATGACAGTGTGCAGGGAGCAGAAGGGTGCAGTGTGCTGCGTGGGGGCTCAGAGGACTCGGTGCCATGTGAGTGTGGCAGAGCGGGTGGGAGGCATAATGGGGTTGCTGTGGGGAGTGCAGGGTATAGAGCAGCGCATGGGTGGCATGCAATGGAGCGAAAGAGAAGGGAGCACCTAGTGCTGTGGGAGGAGGCCCTGGCAAGGCGGATGAGAGCCCAGCGCTACGGCTGGTGGGCGTGGCGTGTAGGGGGAAATGTTTGAGCCACGCTAACCTTTGTCAATAACCACCCGGTTGCACCCCATGTGGCCACGCGCCTTCCCTCCCTCCAGGCGCTGCCCCCTCCGACCCACCCTCAGCCCGGCCACCAGGGGCAACAAGCAGCACCAGCAGAGCACCCCCCTCGCCGGGCCGGGCCCCCTAAGGCGGGGGGAGGAGGCTGAACGTTCCAGAGCCCGGGGGGGTCTAGAACGCTGGACGGCAGCCCGGAGCGTTCTCGAATGCTGGGAGGCGGCGGCCCCCCGGGCCCAGCGCGCGCGCGCTCGCTCACCTTCCCGTCCGGGCCGAAGGGGAGGGACTCAGGCTCTTCCCCGACCGGGGAGGGCGCCGGGTCCCGCTGGGTCTCCGCGGCCTCGCTTGGGCTCGAGGAGGTGGCGGCGGCGGCTCCGTGGAGCTGGTAGTCCGGGTAGGGGTTGCTGAACGCCCGCTCCTCCATCTCCGCCTCGCCCCCCAGCTGCAGCTTCAGTCGCTTGGACATGCTCTCTCCCATGGCAGCCTGCCCCCGGCCCGCCCCCTGCTGCACGGCGAGCCGCCGGGGACACGCGCCCGCCCCGAGAGCAGCAACGCGCTCCCTGCTGCAGCGCCAGCACTACGCCAAGGGCTGGGGCAAAACGCGCCTTGTCTTGATAATAATGCGGTGGGGGGCGGCTTGCCTAGCACTTAACACGGCTGCCGCCACAGATGGAAGGTATCAGGGTAGCCGTGCCCCTGCCCCCACTTCTGAGAGGCAGAAAATACCAACTTTAAAAATAAGGAAGCAGGCTGCCGCCGCCGCTGCCGCCTGCCATAGAACAGGGCTGGGAGAAGAGGCGCGCCACGCCCCGCTGAACATTAAGACATGATGGGCACAGTTTCCTCCCCTTTTTGCACGAAACGGCACGATCGCGAGGAAGCAAGGGCAGGCACAGTGAAAAAGCCGCCCGCTCATCAATCTCTGCCAGGACAGCTGGGCACCTCTTCTGAGAGAGAGCCACTTTAAATCCACTGAGCCTTGATCACACCTCTAAAAAAACCCATCGGAGTTCTTCATCTTCTCCCCCCTCAGCTCCCCAACCCCTCCGAAAACTAAATCGGGCTGTTGCTGCGAACAACACCCAAGGCTGCAAAACTCAGCTCCTTCCTGCTGCCTCTGTCTCTCTGCAATAGGGAGAAATTCTCTCCCAAATTATTTTACATAATAACCAGAACCACCGAGGAGAAAGAAAATCCAAAGTATAGGCAGTAAATGATCAATTCCTTCACCAGTGTCATCCGAACCCTCTAGCTTGCTGCAACCAGCAGGAGAGAATGAGAAAAACCGTACAGAACTAATCCCTGACCCTGATAAACATGCACGTAAATGGTAAAGGCTCTACCCTTCCTTTGCTCAATACATTGATATTCAGCTTTCATTCATAGCCCATCCACCAAAATGATGACAGCAGCAGCCTTTCTCCAATCCATAGTCACAAATCCACACTTATCTAATCAATTTTATAAATATAACAAAGAACTCTTCCTGTGCGGAGGGGGATGAGGAAAAGCAGCCTTTAATCTTCTTCCCCCTCAGTTTGTAATTTCCTCCTTGCATTTTATTCTTCCTTTGCTGCTGTGAAATGTGTGTCCCCCTTGCCTTGGATGAAGAAGGAATACATTTTGCATGACAAGATCAGGGGGGAGGGCTCCCTGCACACTCAACTATTTCTAACAGTCAGTTGAGCTGCCAGCTTTCACCAGGCTGTCACACACTCAAACCAAAAAAGAAAAAAGCACCTACAGTATCTACACATATGTGAAACAGGCACACATGTATGAACAGATGGTGGTCCTGGCATTTGCCTAATTCACTGTATGCTTCTTAGTTTAATAGTCTTGGCTGAGCATTTTTGCCTACCCCAATCTCTATTTTTTTGTTCCTCTTGGCTCACTGTTTAGTTTCACATATAATGTTTCTTTTTTATAGACAGGCAGCAGCAGCCCATAACAGGTTTCAGATAATATATTCTGGTTTGTTTATTATATTCAAACTGTGTTACAGCTTTGTGTGGAAAAAGACTGCCTGCCAAATCCCAGTTGCTTAGTATTGGAAATGGAAAACATATCTTGGAGACAGTGTGTCAGTTTAACTGTATAAAATAGTGCAGATCAGCAAGATTCTACTTGTGTGTGAATATATTTATGCACATATACAGATTATATAACCTCAACAATTTTAAGTAATGACAGGATTGCCTATTATGAATAACTGATTGAATTATGCAAATGAGGAATTAATGGCTTGACCCTGCAAGGTGAAGTGTGCCCTCAAATCCCACTGATGTGCATGGAAGATTAGTACACTCCGCACTTCTGAAGAGGAGTTCACCACCTCAGAGGTTTAACTGAAAGGCCCTGGTATACTTAAGCATGTGACTAAATCAGTACCTATTCAGGCAAGCACTTAAGTACACACTTAAAATTAAGAAGTGTAAATGAATAAACAACAAAAATTAAGAGTGCATCGCAAAATGTACTCTATATTTATTTTGACATTGTTGATTTTATAACACTTCATAATATACAACTACGAATTATTTATATTGTGATAGTCCCAAGGGATCCCAATCATGGATCGGGCACCATTCTGGTGGGCACTGAACAAACACATTACAGAAAGACAGTCCTTGCCCTGGAGAGCTTACACTCTAAGTAAAGGTACTGTAGAATATCTTATAAAAATGTGGACATCTAGATCTCATTACAGCAATCTCCTATTAAATATTTCCTAGTAAGTGGATAAACCACCAGTTTTGGAAGTAATTATGAAGTATGCAGTTTATCAAGGTTCTAGTCCATGACCCCAATCCTGCATAGATTTACTGCCTTCAATGGGAATATTCAGAGTGCAGAAAATTAAGAATGAATGTAAGTCTATTCCGGCTAGGGGTGCTAGTTTGTATATGTGTGTACACATACACATGCATGTGTAACACCAATAGACCCTGTTCATCTACAGACAGGACTGAACCTAGGACCTCTGAAGCTTAGTGTATGAGCCTCTACTGCATGAGCTAAAAAGCTAACTGGCTCTTAGGTAAGCATAGGTGCTGCAACTAGGGGATATGCCACACCCCCTGGCTTGAAGTGGTTTCCATCATATACAGGCTCTCAGTGCCCCCACTATACAAATTGTTCCAGCATCCCTGTAACTAAGGCTGTAGCAGATTCATCAATCTCTAGCTAAGCTAGGTGCCACTAGAGGGGAACAGAGCACCACACCAAGCAGGCATAGGTTACACATGCATACCTATGTATGTATCGGTATGTTTGTGCACACAGCCATTATCTTGTGGTATAATATAGATTTTAGAAAACATTTTCCCTTTATTTTTTAAAAGTGGAATTTATGACAAAGTGGAATTCCAAACATATTGTGTGTGTCATAAGAAAATATCATCTGTTACCACATACGATCTCTGGAAAAGAAATAGCCATCAAAATCTGTAAGTTATACAGTTGAATATGCTTATTTAGAGAACAAAATCTGGACCAAAGAACTAGTCTTGTTTACAGAAAGGCCTGTTTTTTTCACTTATTTAGCAAGTGTTATATAAAACAAAGGTCTAAACTATTTCGAATCTTATCATAATAGCTTGAGTAGGTTAAAACATCTTTGCACATGCACAGTGCCCTTGGAAATTTATTCAACACCTGCTAGTGTGGAAACCCATTTTTTAAAATCCAACTCTCCTTTTCATACAAAAAGTGATTTTTCTCACACACCTTCTCTTGCCGTCGCTGTTATATCTGTGCATTCTGGGACTTCTGAAGCACTTTCCCCATAATCCTCGCTGCTCTTGTTGGAAATAGGATTGGGGGTAATTCTTAAATCTGAGGCAGTACATTTGCACAGCTTCCATGCTTGCAACTTCCTGTCCACACTGGGGAGAAATAATTCTACAGTGCACCAGATCAGCCTCAGCTGAGCTAAAGGCTAGGTCTACACTACCCGCCTGAATCGGCGGGTAGAAATCGACCTCTCGGGGATCGATTTATCGCGTCCCGTCAGGACGCGACAATCGATCCCCGAATCGACGCTCTTACTCCACCAGCGAAGGTGGGAGTAAGAGCCATCGACGGGAAGCCGCGGAGGTCGATTTTGCCGCCGTTCTCACAGCGGGGTAAGTCGGCTGCGATACGTCGAATTCAGCTACGCTATTCGCGTAGCTGAATTTGCGTATCTTAAATCGACCCCCCCCTGTAGTGAAGACGTAGCGAAAGACTTATTTTCTGCTATCAGCTGATACAACCAATGTTTGTAAAACACTTGGGACAACTGTTGGCAAGGTATTATAGACTCAAAATGTTGCAAGCAGAAGGTTTTCTTTGCATTCCAGTGGTTTCTTGCAGCATTTTTCATGTAATGTTGACAGAGTCTGTGAGGAAATAGCAACTCTCTCCTTCCTCCTTTCTTTTGTACCCAGACAGCTGGATATACTTTGAAGGTTTTTAAAACATTCTTCAGTTGACAATTTTTCTTTTTACACTAATAGGAAAAGTGGACACAAAACATACTTGAATGTTCTCCCTTTGATGCCAGTGCACACAATTTCTGCAGCATTAATGGAAATTATGATAAAGGGGGAGGGACAATATGTATCCCATTTTTTCCCTCATTGGACAGGGGAAGGGAGTTGTTCCCAAAACAAGTACCTAACTTAAATCACACTCCTGGACTTTCCATGCATCTTGTCTCTTCTGTGTCTGTCTTTTACATTGTAAGATCTTCAGGGCAGGGATGTCTTTATGTTTTATATAATGCAGAACAAATAATAAATAGTGATAATGGGTCATTTCATGTCATTTAAAAAAAAATCAGAACTCCCCACTGTATTTTGCTTAGAAATTAGTTACATAACATAACTCAACGAAGAGTTCAGCTTAAAAAAAGAAAAATCGATGGGGTGATATGGGCTAATCTTCTTTTGATCATTTTTGCCAAATGATTAAGACATAAAGTCTTCACATTTCCTTCCTCTAGCCTTGCACCTACTACTTTTGTTTTTGTCTTCCTTGCTGCATTGCCTGATCTAGTTTTTTAGGGAAAGTGCCATGTCCTTTCAAAATGTATAATAAAGTGTCTCGTTTGTTTTGGATAATGTATAAATAATAATAGTAAATTAATAAATCCATAATGACACTACAGTTTCCCATATATTTTGCTTGTTGATCCCATCGTGTTTAACATATGATCATAACTGACAGGGATGGAAAGGGCTTTTGTGTCATACAGTTCACCCCACGGGCTAGTACACAATTGTACTCAGTGTTAAACCCACGAGTGTTTCATCATACTGAAATCTGATGTGGTTTTTGTAATCAATATGAACAACTATCAAGAGCCTCCCAAAGCACTGGCAGCAATGTTTTTGTTTTTAATTATTCCTTCACTAGTAGTTTTCATTCTTGCTGCTCCATATTTTCTCCCGGTCTTTGTGTGACACCATCTGACATATACAAGCAACAAACCTCTCTGTGTTTTCTTCAGCAGGGACAGGATGATGAGGACGTGGGCA